CTTATTGCTGTACGTGGAGCCGAGGCGAAAGGAAGCTTCGGAGAGATTGCAGAGGATGAGATTCCAATTACAATTACATTCTGTTGAAGACCAGAAAAGACCAATACAGCAATTACAGAATACAGTGCGCGGTTTAGTGGCGAAATTAAGGCGCTTGGAACGCGAAACATATTTAGTACAGAAGGCACTGGCCGAAGAGTCAAGTCCAGAGTTATTGACGGAAATGGAACGTTTAGAAACAAATGTTTTTGAATGTAAAGAACAACTTAGTGCCAAGGCGGAAGAATTGGATGTCATGTTGAATTGTTATAAAGAGACCACTGCACCAGCGGCCGCGTCGGCTACGCTAAAGGATAAACCGGCTGCAGTGGCTAGAGTGGCTGAGATTTGCTTTAAACATGCACAATGGAGGCTGACGGACGCAGACGGTCAGCTAGGTATAGCCGATCTTATTTTGACTAATTTCCTTTATACAAAAACCAGCAAAACTGATGACTCGGTAGAACATTTGTTGGAACTGGGATACGTCCGGATGACGAATCTATTACCAAATCAAACCTATACAGAAGTACTTGTACCCACGGAGTTACAAAGCAATATGCCTGTAGATCGGCAAAGGGCTCTTCGAGTCTTCTGCAGAGAAAAAGCGCCAGTAGCGGGGATATCTGTGAAGGAGCATTTTGAGATCAATGTGGTACCCCTTACAATAGGTAAATTAAAATATAACTCTAGTACTATAGTAACTATAGTATACAATATACAGTTTTATTTTGATACGTCATGTTATGTATCATTTTTTAGTTCTCGTCTTTTTTGTTTTGTTTGATTGCTGTTTTATTGTTCCCGTTTTCTTTTACTCCGTTTGATTGTGATTTTGTTTTGTTTTTATCCTGTTTTTATTTCATTATTGGATTTATCTTATATATAATTTAATTTTTATAAATTATCTTATTTTTAATGTCGCGTTTCTCTCTCTTTCTGCTCAGCTGGAGTGGACAGAATTTGCTTTCTTCATTTCACTTTTGATTTTTGATACGTTTTGCATTATCATCTTCACTTGGATTATATAGATCTTTTTCAATTTTGTAAATTATAAATCATTATTTAGTTCTTTTAATTTATGAAATTATCGTTTTGCTTTTTTTTTAGGTCTGACAAAAAAATTCTTTAATACTATGCTCAAGTTTTGTTTTCCTGAGAGAGATCCGGAAGGCATAGAGGAAGCACCAGCACCTCAACGTGACTCCTCCTTTTATGTACCTATCGAGAGGAGAGACGACGTGGAGAAGATGAAAGAGAGGGCAGATAAAAACAAATTATTTATATATATTAAGATACCGGAAGTACCTGTACGCGTATCATATAAGGTAATGATCTTCTAATAAATTAAAAAAGAAAATATTTTTTTGTTGCTCTCATTTGCTTTCATGCAAATTATTTGTTAAACTTATTTAATTTATTCTTGCAGGGAAACAAAGAAAAAAATCTTGAAGATGTGCGTGATTTTGCGCTAGTTATACCAACTTTGGAGTATCATAACGTGACGTGGACATGGCTAGATCTGTTGCTCGCTATGAAGAGCGATTCTAGGCGTGTAATACTGAGCCAAGCCATCAAACAAAAATTGCAGATAAAACCGAGAGGGCCGCCCGAGGAATCCGTGCCGCAGGAACAGGATAAAGCTCGTCTTTTATTAGGTACCAGACATCTTCCTGGAGACGCGAGAAAAAAAAATGTATTTAAATTTAAGTAATTTGTACATGCTATAATTTATATGTATTATAGTAATTTATTTATTAATAGCATTGTTATAAATGTTATGTACACAAGCTTATATTCGTCTCTTATACAAAAAAAATAAATTGCATAAAAGAAAAATAATTTCTAACATATACAGGGTGTCCCACCAAAAGTGGCCATCCCCTTTTATCTTTTAAATTAAAAGAGATAGATCATAAATATATATCAAATTAAATGGTTCAAACCGAACTCTATTTTGAGCATGGTAATTGCTTACATAAGCTGTGTTAACGAACGGAGAGGTATGTATAATTTTTTTATAACAATGTTGATATTTCGACACAATAAAAGTTTTAGCGCTTCGCGTTTGAAACGAATACAATGATGTATGATTTAATGTAAATATCAGGTGATTGCATAAGTTCGTGCCCGATTTAAATATAAACTTCAATAGATTATATTTTAGAGATAACACTTTTATTAATCAATTATATAGTCTCCATTCTTTTCTACAATGGTTTTCCAACGATCTATAAGCTTGTCGATTCCATTTTTGAAGAAAGAACTTGGTTTTTCTTGAAAAAAGTTTGTAAGGTGGTTTTCGACAGCTTCCTCGGAATTGAGATTCTTGCCATTTAAACTATTCTGCAAAGACCGGAACAGATAAAAATCTGAAGGCGCAATATCTGGATGCAATCATCCAATACAATATTTTACATATACGAGTTTTATCGGCTTAAAATATCGCGGGCGATATCTATCTTTTCATTTTTGGCCCTGCAATATGCCCAAATGTAGCAGCTGTAAAAACAGGTGATTTCTATTAATTTTTTTTATAAAATTATTGATATGCGATTTTTTAGGATATAAAGAGGTATTTTCAAAATACAAAAAATTTTGATTTTAAAAAAATTTTTTATATATTTAATAAAACATATAACATTGTACAAAACGGAAACTTTAATGCTTCATAACTTTTGAACGCATCATGACCGCCACTTTTTTCAAAGTCGATGACCTTGACAACATATATCAAGGTCAAGGTTATACATGAAGTTACTCTCTTTCTGTATAATTACCTCTTTTTTAAATCGGAGAAATTCAGATTATCGTATTTAATACTTGTTATTCTTATTGTATAAATTTGATTGTTAATAACTTTTTAATAAATAACGAACGACGGCTAAAATCTTTTGGATGTTACTCAGGATCATGACCTTGACAACATATGTCAAGATCAAGATTATTGGAGGTGGATGTCCTATTCTGTAGTTTTATTTCATAAAATATGCTTTCCTCTTTCTCAACAAGATACTGCTAAATTATTTTTTTCATTTTATAGACCGTACAAGCTTCTTTGGATCTTTCTAAGCTACGACACTCCGTCCTAAGTAGCCGTTTTTCATTATAGGAATCGGCAAATACTTTGCATCATTCTCTGATCACGATATCCATATTGTGTGTGTTTCTATCCCAGTTAGCCAAATTTGTTCTAACAGATTTTGGCAAGGCCTGCTACAAATTATTGTCAGCAAAAAGGCTACGAATTGAGTACAAAAGTTGTTATTACCGATTAAGCTGGCAGATTGACGGCAAAAATTGAGCAAAGGTTGCCGACATAACCCGACAGTAAATTGGCGGTAGAAACCGAGCAAAGCTTGCTAACATGACTGACAGACTGGCATCAGATTGTCGGCACGAACTGAGCAAGATCTGGCGTGCACAATCTAATGGCATATTGGCAGCAAAAACCAAGCAGAATATGACAAAGTATTACAAAATTCTATTATTTGAAATAGTATAGTTCAGTCGTTTACCGCTATGCGGCGTGTTATTCATATCTATACTCGTATTCAAGTTTTTGTCATGAGTGTATATAAAGCCTGCAAAATGTGACTAATAATATTGTAATATATCTATCTCTATCAGTTCAATTTTTGACACGATGCCTATACAGGATAATTAAAGTATGCCACTCTTTTTTTAAAGCATTTTCGTCAAAGCCACCGAGGGTTTGAGCAATAAAAGAAACATCATTAAATGATTCTCAATATTTCTTAATATTTCTCAATGTTTCTCAATACTACATAATGCTGTGTTGAATTGGAAAACTGTTAATTTACTTTTCAAAGCATATTTAAAAATTTTTTCATTCTTTTAATGCATTTTTTCAAGCTGTGGAAACAAGAATGCACTTGTTGCAGCCAAAGTCATTGGAACTTTTAATAAGAATTTCCAAACATTTTTTGAAACCAGAGCTTGTAAAAAATGTATGTAATGATTTTAAATTTTCTGAAAAAAAACCAAAAATCTTTAAATGATATAAAATTAGGATCTGAATGTGAAGAATATCTCGAAAGTTTAATGAAAAAAGGACGCGAAGACATAATTGGAAATGTTCGAGATAATTGTCTACAATATTACGCGACTGCTGCCGAGGAAATTAGTAAAAGATTGCCCATAAGATAAATTTTTATGTAAATTAACAGTTTTCTAATTCAACACAGCATTATGTAGTATTGACAGAGATCGATTTTTACTTATTCGGGCAATTCCTGTCAAAAAAAATCTTTAATTTTATAAATCAAATTATTTAAATTTACCTATATGTTTTAACACATTAATATGTATTATTATATATTAATACTGTAACTGATCTAATTTTTGTCGTCGAAAATAGCCGTAGATTGCTGGGCATTTGGCGCAAATTTGTTGTCGGTCTGCGGTTGACAAACCTGCTCTCGATTTGTTGCGTCAATCTGTCGTCGCACTGCTAGTGACAGATCTGCTCTGGTGTTGTACCCAATTTGACATCAGGATATGATTTCAACTTTTGGTTGCAATTGGGGCGCACTCGAGAACACAGTAGGCTCTGAATTTGGCAGCCTCGTTCCACAGGGAATTGTTTGGCGTTTGTTAACAATCCGCAAGCAAATAGTTAGCTGGGTATTATATTTAGTACGGGGTAATAGACTTTACAAAAGGAATCGATTTTTCTAATACCACAAGAGCACGTGACAGCGATTTTAGATCCTAATCCACGATTTCTCGTTTCACCCAAACATATCTCCCTTATACTACCACCGCTTGCCGTTTCAAACTCTGATGCATCTCACTAAATGGGCTGTAACTTTATTATTTTTGCGAATTCGACTTTAATACTTTAGGAGCATATTTTTGAAATGTACTTTTGATTTACGCAACAACAAAAAAATCGATTTTTTTCATCTGTTACACTACAATCCACCCTTAAAATGAAGCATTCTGCAGTTCTATTTTCTCTACACTGTAATTACAATGACAAGAAAGTTATGACGCCTATAGACAATTTCTGGAAAAATGTGTAAGAATAAGTGTAAGTTCGCAATTTTTTTTCTTTTTTGTCGTTTCACAGCTATCTTTTACTATCTTCGTTGTTGAAAATTTAATCTCATTATGGTAATTGTATTACTGAAAAAAGTGGAACAATAACAATTCAAAATTAATTTAAAGTTGCTTGTGGAAAAATTTTTCTCCATAACATTGAGAGTAAAGGATTATATCTGTTATAGAATCTATTTTTATCGAAATCAAGTGATTTCACTTTTTTACACACATGTGTGCACAAGTTTTTAATTAGTATAAAATTATAAAGAATTATACTGTTTATGAACAATATAATCATAAGATATCTCTCTTGAGATAGAAATCAACAAATATTTAAAAATATAGTCTGAAATACAATTTTTATTTCAAACTATATTTTTTTTAATGAATAGTTTCAGAGAGATTAACTGTACAATTTAAAGGGATTTATTCTTTCTCCTCTCTTTCCATATGTGTGTGCATCGCTTGCATGTGTGCGCACTAAAAAACTTTTTTGTCTATTGATGTACAGTTGACTCTTTGAGCTAATAGTTCTCATGATTCGTTGTTCAAGTTCATACATTTGTTCAAATATTTACAAAACGTGTATAAAGTTATAGAGTTATTAAAGGTGCTTCTATATTTTTTCTTGCATGTCTCCATGCATTCAAATCTGCCAGAATTCGCCTGCCATATGCTGTATGAAGTTCACGAAAAGTTATTTTAGTTCTGGGTATATTCTCTGTTCTACCAGGTGCCGATCTGACACTCTGGGAACGATGATGACAGTCTGATTTATTGAATGGATTATGCCGCTGTCTTGGTGGAGCTTTAGGAGATTGTTGCATCGGTATGGATGCTGTTTCCTCTTCTACAGCATCTAACTGACGTTGTAATTCTGTCACCATAAGTTTCATATAATCATAACTGGCGCAAGCTAATGCCTTCATCCATTGCTCCATAGATTCCTAAATATTGTTATTCTTATTAAAGATGAAGCATGAAAAATAAATATAAATATATTATCAACATGTATTCACCTGAGATTCTGCAGCTAGAACATAGCTTCTATTGTTTAGACCATGAAAAACTATTTTGAAGCCAAATTGCTCTTCATCTTCTGCTAATTCAATTGTACAACCTTCAAGTACAATCATGCCCATTGGTTCTTTGTCACCACGTCGATCAAAGTAGAACAATATGTTTCCTTTGAGAATGAACCACCGTCTTTGATATCCGCGATTCACTTCACCACGTTTATTCAACCAGCCTTCACGATCTATTGGTGTTGCAGATGTAGCAAATGCTACCATGTTTTTCTCATTGATTTTCATGTTTAGCAACGAATTTTCGCTCAATTTCTAGTAAATTCGCGGTACAATTTTGCAGTAAGAATAAGGTGAAGTCGCAGTCGGATGAATGTCAAACTGTATCTACATATTGTAAATACACACAGCTCAAGATAAATTTTTCAGATATTGTCACGTGTGTAAAATGCACGCACTTTCTTCCTTTTCAACTAGAGTCCTAGGGTGCGTTCCGTTTCACGCATGAACATGAACCGCATGAAACGCAGCATATCGCATGAGCGTATTGACTCGTTCCCTTTTTCCCATCACCTACATGAAGCTAGCCGGAAGAAGTTATTAAATATGATTATTTTTAATTTTTCTGAATGTATTTCGTTTGTAAATCGTGATTGATTGTGAGTCTGTTTTTAACGTTTGTGCCAAATTAGGTTTTTTGTAATTAGCAATTTATGGCGAATTCGATTGGATGCACTAGTGCGCACTCTTTCAGTATTTAGTATTCGGTTGGCTTACCCTGTACTGGTTCAGAATTTTATGTGTATTCGGTTGATAGTGCACTAAAAACATGTGCTAGTGAAAACGTATTCGACTGAGGGGCAGCATAAAGTTAGCCGGACCACTTTAACTTTTTAATAATTAAAATTATCTAATCGTTTGGTGGTCGTTTGGTGATGATTGTTAGGCTACCAATCATAACCAAACGACCACCAAACGATTAGATCATTTTAATTATCAAAAAGTTAAAGTGGTCCGGCTAACTTTACGGAGCCCGACTGAGGGCCAATTTCACCAAGTCCGGCTAGATTAACCGACGGTTAAAATTAGCAGGATTCCAACTGAAATTATATGAATGCTTGGTTTTCCTTCACCTCTATTTTCTGTTGAGCACCCTGCTAATTTTAACCGTTGGTTAATCTAACCGGACTTGGTGATAGAAATCATTTGGGAATAACATATTCATTAATATTTGTATTTGGGAAAGTCGCATTTTTGTAATTTAAATAAATTTGTATATTCAAAAAAATTATTATGCGTTATGCACGCGGCATAAAGGATTCAACCAATCAGAGTCCTTTATTTTAAAA